GTGCATTTTTATAGGAATTTTGGAGATCAGGGACTTCCTGGTTTAAGTCCGCGGATTTTATTTTGTAAACCAGTGGCGCCCTATAAAGCTAACTTTCAATACTGAAGCTACTCCCACACCACTGAGTAGCCACGAGCACTTTGTTGCGCTGGGTTTAAGGGTGTCTTACTGTACCTAGGCCTATTGGGATTTATTTATTGAAATTTATTATTCAAACAGTTTAAGGGTTAATTTTTGCGCAACAAGCAAAGTAGGCCGAGTTGATATTATTACTGACGTTACACCGGGCGCTACGATGTTCCAACTCCTGCATTTTGCAGTTCATGAAGCTTTTGTCTCTGGATCTGGGGTTCTTCAAGGCAGCCTAGTTCAAGGATGCATGCTAGATGGTCTGAACTATTGGGCAGGTCGATTTTTATTCTCGGTCGCGTTGTTGTGGGTGAACTTCTTTGTACTAGGTGTTTGTTTATAACTGGAACACTCAGTAACTTTCATATATTATTGAAAATAAAGGGCGTGTTTAAGCTGGAAAATTTCTTGGTAAATTGCAACCTTAAGCGCTACAACGATAGTTTTTGTCGTCCTAGGTTTACAGGGTGCGCCAAAAAGGTATTTTTTTTAAATGGAATGCCCTATATATTTTTTTTATCCAAATAATATTTGATATGTTTGTAAAGCTAATTTTCTAAGAATTTCAAAAATGCAAAAATATACAGGGCGTTCCATTTGAAAAAATGACTTTTTTGGCGCACCCTGTATACCTATGGCGACAAAAAAAATCTCGTTGTAGCGATTAAGATCGTTGCAATTTATCAAGAAATTTTCCAATTTAAACATGCCCTTTATTCTCAATAATAAAAAAGTCATTGAGTGTTCCAGTTATAAACAAACACCCTGTACAAGATGATGTCCGATAAGTCTGCCTGGGCTGTAAGTTCCATGGACGTGCAGCCGTTTTGGAGTCAAGATGTTGTGGAAGTACCTTGCTGCAGCGCCGTCTATGGTTCTGCTTTCGAAGTTTATTCGAAGGCTGCCCCAGTAGTGGTGCTTTGCATTGCAGTCGCCATCCTCGATGATTGCGACGTCATCAGGAGGAAAGGCTCCTACTTCCCTTCCTTTTTAGGGTTTCCTTTGGTTGAGTTTACACCCCCATCAAGCCCTTCTATAAGTGCATAAAAATTTGGACTGCGGTTGATTTTATCTTTGCAGGTTGATGTTCTCTCTCACTATGACGGCTGTTGAATTTCAAGACATTGCGTTACGGCTTGTGAAAGGTTTTCTATAGTGGTACGATATCAATGTTATTTTCTTAGAGGAATACCTAGAGTTCGTGCTTCTTATCGTCCTGCGAGGCTCTTGGCGTTCTAAGCCATTATGCGTGGGTTGATTTTAGCGATTATTGCGGGTTGTTCTGAAGGCTGCTGCAGGCTCTTGGGACTCTCTTGGCTCTGTTGACCAGGAGAAGTGCTTGTTGGGGTAAACGTTCATGTTTGGGGGACTCCGGCATCCTTCCAAAAAAGATGAGGTGACCCCTATAGCTTGCGCACTTAAGGGGTTGTTCTTTTGTTTTCTGGCAGCTCTCCGCACATTTGACACATGGGGGCTGTTCGGCAGCTGAACAGGCACGCTTCTTACGTTTTCGTATAGCTGTCAGCCGTGATGCCGTTGATGGTGATTATGTTGTTATATATTTCCTTCTAAGTACCTGGCAGGAGAACGAGAACGCATCACTTGGATTGTCTTATTTGGAGCAGGTCTTCCAGGTTCAGTAGCTTTTCATTGACAGCCTTTGTGGTGCTTGTTATCACGCACTACTCCCACATCGTTATGAACATATAGAGGGTAAATTGGCAGAAAAGAGGGATTATGGGTTCAAAAGCAAACAAACACGTGTCGCTACAATAGAATTCGCTCAAGTCTCAGGATATTGTGTTAGGTACCTTTTACAATAACAACTAGCTTTAAACTAAATGAAAGTGGAAGGAGCCAATTTTTTTCAATGTCGTCTGATTAAACTTCGAGTAGCGCTGCAGCCGTAGGCTTATTGTAGGTTTGTTGGATTTTTGCCATATGTGTCTGGATCTGGTTCATCTTCTCCAAATATATTTTGTCTTCTGCGAGTTAGTGCCTCGCATTCTGATATAATGCGTTGGGCTGTTTCGGTTTCTGTTCGACATAGTCTGCAACTCGTGTCTCCGTTGTATAAGCCCTTTATTGGTAGGTGCTTCTTTTCTGCTTAGTTGTAGCAGTCTTTTTTTTTTTTACTGCATGACTCACGTATGGAGATTTTCCCATGTGCATGCTTGGGTATTTTCTTCTAGTATTGAGCATGTTTTGCTCTGATCCATTCCTCAGCTCCTTTCTTACTGTGCTTTTGAGCACTTCGAGAGCTGGTTCGTGTCCAAGGTATTCTGTGGATAACCTCCTACGCTCATCAGCCTTTCCGTTGCCAGGGATACGTCTATGTCTTGGCACCCACATCAATGTGACGTTATTTTGGACGCCAAGTTGTTGAGCTCTTCTCGACATTCTATTAACAGTGCAGAGCTTGCCTTAAGGTTCTCTAAAGCCCAATGCCCCTAGTGCTACCTAACTGTCTGGAGTAAAGTGAGTCTCCTGTCTTTGCAGACCCTCATGTTGTTGATTCTAGCGAATTGTAATATTCCATATACCTCTGTCTAGAAAACAGATGTATGTCACCCTAGAGAGAAGAAGGTCTTGCGTCTTCCTGCTTGACTGTAGATTCCTGCGCCTGTGCCATTCTCAGTCTTTGACTCCTCCGATTCTTTGAGATTGGAAAGTGCATGTTGGTTTTCTCATTCCTCCGTTTCACTAATTAGGACTTGGAAGGATGTGTCGGATGAGTATTTGGGAAGTGCATAGTCAATTATCATGTCGAATACTGTCAGATTCATGATTTCCTTTATTTGTGTGTGGACTGAGCTGACTGTTAGTTTGCTCAGGTTGTTTCATTGTCTGTGGAGGCTCATCCTGGCGTCCGTCTGAATTACAATGTGTAGCGGAGGTAGGTCTAGTAGGACTTCCATAGTCGCTGTTGATGTGCTTTTCATGCACCCTGTAATGCCCAGACAGGCAAGTCTTTGCATTTTGGCCTTGTCTTGTTGTGTCTTTGTTCACCATATCAAACGCATAGGTCATCGCTGGCTTTACATCATGTCCGGCCTCAGCCTCCATGTTTTGCCAAAAGTTCTCCTGGCTAGTATAGGTGTCAGTTCTTTAACTAAATACATTGTCCAGATGTTTGTTCCAAGTTAATTTTGAGTCTATGATTACCCCAAGATATTAAATTTCGTCCGACATCGTAAATGGGTTTCCGTGAAGATAAAGAGGTCCAAGTCCCTCCATTTTCCTTCTTTTGGTAAAGGGGACGATTGTCGATTTGGTGGCACTAATGTTCAACCCTACAGTCTGTGTCCACCTAGAGACTATTGTTAAAGCCTGCTGCATGCGATCTCTAACTGTATGGTTGAATTTCCCCAATACTTTTGTCATGTGCTAGTCTTCCCTGGTGCTTGTGGCTAGGTCTACATAGTGACGGTTTTCGGGGTTTTCTTCAAGGATCACACTGCCCGAGAAGTGTACTCTGTAAAGCTCTTCCAGAGTCTCCTGTTCGGTCTGAGTATAGTTTCCATTTTTTGCTCTTAAAGTGCCAATCATTCCTGGAGTGTCCTTGAAAAGGATTTTATAGAGTCTGGCACATTGAGGAATCTGTTCAACCTCCTCACAATGTCTTCTTCATGATTCCTTCTTGAATGCTCTTAGGCATATGTTGTATTCAGTCAGAGCTTTATGCTACTCGCTCCACTCTCCTGTTCGGGTTGCTTTGTTGAAAAGTTTCCTTGTTTCCAGCCTTTGTTTTCCGAGGTCGTTATTCCACCAGGGCACATTCCTGTTGGAATTGCTCATAATTGCAGAACAGTTGTTCATATAGGCGTATGTAATACCGGTCTGTAGTTGTTCCGCTTCTAGGTCCACGTCTACGGTGTTTCTTATCGTCGTTTTTACGGCCCGCAAATTGTCGTCCAGGTCTACCTGATAGGCTTCCCAGTTTATTTCTACGGTGTTTCTTATCGTCATTTTTACGGCCCGCAAATTGTCCTCCAGGTCTGCCTGATAGGCTTCCCAGTTTATTCTGCGGGGGTTCCGATAAGTTTCAGTTTCGAGACTGTCCTGTAATTTCAATGCTAATGTGACTGTGATCTGAACACTCACCTCAAATTTTGTAGATACCGTAATGTCGAGTACCTCCTTTCTAACAGTTGTTACAAAGGTGGGTTTATTTCCCACGTTCAATATGTCTATATAATTTGCCATAATAAATTATAGTAATGACTCACCTCTATTGTTGGTGTTTGTGCTGCCTCATATAGTATGGTGCGCATTCGCATCACATCCTATTATGAGTTGCGATCCATTACAATAGCTCAGCAACTCATTACCAGGTTCTGTACTTCCCTGGATGGTGGCTCTTGAGGATCATCTCCTGGAAGGGCCAGTGCTTGAGTGCGACCCATTGATATGAGTTTTAGGATTCGAGAAAAAAACTAAATTGATAAAACTGTGCAAAAAAAAAATTAGGTCCTGCCTGACTAGTATCACTGAAATATGTTCTCAAGATGTAAGGGAAAACTATCTAGAATTAGTACAAATCTTGTATCTTGTTTTATATATATTTTGGAGAAGATTTTTCAGTCAGTATAAATCGAGGTATAAATCGAGTACTATTGTCCAGAAATTCACTCAATTTAAAAAAAAAAGTTTTATAAAGCAAAATGCTTTCCATGTAGTTTTCAAATAAATTTCAACTTCATTAAGTTGATTACTTTTGAGAAAATTATAATTTCTTCAATCAATCAAACTCTTTCTCCCTGTAGATTTCTCTCCCCCGATAGCCAGCCATTCAGACTCCTTCGCCCGCTGAATGAATCGGCGGCGGATCGATTGCAAGCCAGCGCCGATCTAGGTGGCGTCACGACGTTCCTCATTTCGTTTGCCGGCGCTGTACCGACAATATCCAGACCTTTCCCAGTTGAATAATCCAGAGTCCAGTCGGGTGAGATCGAAAATCGGGAACGAATTTTTGTTGTTTTGGTTTTTTCGTAAACTGTTATAATAGTTGATTAGAATTGATCATATTGGTAAGTGGATTTTTTTGTTTTCATACATTCCTATTATGTTTTCTAAAGTAGTTTCTGGTTAATAGATTTAGGTAAGGTCTGTTAATATGACATAATTTCAATCCATTAGCTTCAAATCAACAGAAAAATATTATTTAAATTTATTAAAATTAAAAATCGTATGCTTAAAGGTTATATTTGCTCGACATAGAAATTGCCTGCCTAAAATCCGAATGCCAAAAAATATCTGGCCCAATCCAGATGGTCTCAAATTATCTCGTTTCTTTCAAGCTGAGTGGAGTTGCCTTTACAGGGAGCAAACAAACTTGTGTAATGAAAATTACAAGGTGAAATAGTTGAGTTGATATTGCTTTATAGTTATAGAGTTGTTAGAGCAGGACTAAGGTCGTTTTTCTACGTCATCGGGTCTGTATTACGCTTCATGATTGACGTTATCGATGGATTTGAGCCCTGCTCATCAATTGTTTTTTTATTGAGGCGGTAAAATGGTTTATGACTTGTTGGCGATCTGGCTCCAATGATTTCTATGACTCAATAAAAAATGTTTCTTCAATGTCACGGTGGAGTAATATAACTGGGAAATTGACTTCAGATTCCTATCGAATTAAACATTCATTGAGATGAGTTTGATGCTGGTCCATTGCTTGGCCACAAGCCTAACATTTGAACTCTTTTAGACTGTCTTGCTAATGCCACTGCCTCCTTTCCAATCTGCAGTCATCTTAGTCTTCCTCTCAATAATAATAATAAAAATATCAGCTTATTTCTCAAAAATTGCAATATGTAATTTATAAAGTAGATACACTTTATTGTTTCGACATAAACAGTTAAGCACAGTAGCAACTTAAGCTGCTTGTTCGTGCTTCTATGAGTAACCTGGGTATTGACTCTGTCAAGGTCTGTTGAGTAGTGGCTGTTGATTCTTAAGTACTTACAAAATGTTTCAGGTTCTCTGATAATATTTGACTATAAGCTGCACTATTTTATAAATACAGGGTGTCCCAGCCGAGAGTGACCCATTTTAAATGCTTATAACTTTTGAACCAGGTGTGTTAGCTACCTGCGGTTGGTGCCATTCGATTTCTCTTGGCTTAAAGTTTTTTTTAGTTTGTTGCATTTTTTTTTTCTTTTTATACAGGGCTAGTAAAAAAAATTCGTTTTTCAGCATCGAGATTTCCACTATTTCTAATGGAACACCCTGTATATCACGACGTCAAAAAAAAAGATTCATGTTCAAGGTATCCATGTACTAATAGACGTCGGCGTCGTCCCTAAAACTTGAAGTTTTAACCATAAAAAATCGAAATCTTGCTATTTTTGCAAATGCATGCAATTTCATGTTGTAGGTACTTGATATCACTATGGGAAACAATTTTGTAACTGTCTAGTTAGACATCAATTAAGTTAAAATACTATTTCCAAGAAAATTTAACAATAGAGATACCCCAACAGCAACAGTTTGGTGTGTGTAATCTCTAATGAAAAAAAAATAGACAATTTTCATTAATGAAACAACGATAACAGAAACTGTATGCACTGATATTTCCATTTTCCCACAGTTAAGACAGGAGGGTATCTTCGATGATATTTATTTTCAGCAGGATGGTGCCCCCACATCATTATTCTTTAATAGCAAGGAAATCATTAGATATGACATTTGGGGAAAGACGGGTAAGGAGAGCTGGTCCTATAGAATGGACACCTTACTCTCCTGACTTGAGAGTTCTAGAACTTTTTTCTCTGGGGTTATGTCAATGAAAGATACGCTAATGCTTTGCTCGATAGCTCAAATAGGCTGGAAGATCTTAAGCGGAACATTTGTAATGTCATTGAAGCGATTCTCCAATAAATGTTACAAAATTCATTCAACCATTTACTCCCTGGAACAGAATGGCTAGCATACACACATACAGCATTTTTTATCGTTTTATGCAGTTTCTATTATCTTTTATTAGGCAAACCTAAGTTTCCGGCTTTGAAAATATACGTTTGTAAAAATACCAAGATATCGATTTTGATTTTTTACGGATAAAACTTCAAGTTTTAGGGACGATGTCTATTCGTACATGGATACCTTGAACATTAGTCTTTTTTTGACGTTGTGAAATACAGGGTGTTCGATTAAAAATAGTGGAGAATTTCGATGTTTGAAAAACGGATTTTTCTTAATCGCCCAGTATACAAAGCAAAAAAATTTGCAACCTACTAAAGAAAACTTTAGGCCAAGAGAAATCGAATGGCACAAACCGCAGGTAGCTCGCACACCTGGTTTAAAAGTTATAAGCATTTAAAATGGGTCACTCTCGGCTGGGACACCCCGTATATTAAACCAAAAAAGTTCATTGTAGTTTAACAACTAGCATTAAACCAATAAGGTACTTACCACCTAGAATAGTTATTAATGTTAGCAAATAACGGCCGAGGCTGAACAGCTGAGGTTTTGAATCCGAAGCGGTAGCCGGGGATTATGATCAGCCGAGGTTGATTGTAAATAACTGTTTGAGGTATGTTTGGGGGCCGTTGATTATAACTTTTCAATCCCAATTCTGATCACGTTATAATATAATATTACAGTATGGCGAGAATGAAAAGAACTGATCATTATGCTTTATATGCAAAAATTACGGATATACGCTGAAGAAATATGTCAAGAAGATCTAACATTGAAACCCAAATTGAACAAAAGAAATGTATTCCTAGACGCATATTAACACTGAATAACAATGTGGAGACCTATATGCCTACCTAAAATAAATTCAACAAAAAGGTACTGAAGTTGTTGTGGATACAGATCAGTGGAGGGATTCTATAAAATAAAGCAGAAAATTTGATATTGCTATCGATAGCGCTTGTTCGATTCCTAGTCTATACCCCCGGTCGGTTATATTCGTTCAGTCGAATGACCATTCGGTAACAATAGCGATCACGCAAGGCAAAATGCCCGCGCTTTACTAACCGTTTTTTTTTTGAGGTTAAGTGATCCTCAATAATATTTTTATTTTGGAATTTGCTATTAAGCTGCCGGTTGGCGGTGGGTAATTAGTTTTATTTTTGTGTGAATTATATTTTCTACAATTTCAACCACGACATGGAGAGAAGAGTCAAAGCAAATCCGCTTCAATGGTCTATTTTTCTCGATTTTGCCGAAAAACACCCCCAAAGAGTAACAAGAAAATTCACCTCTCTGGAAAGCAAACATAAGTATAATGAACTGTGGAAGGATATATCGTCTCATTTGAACAGTATGGGATTTCAACAGAAAACAGTGGAGAAATGGCAAAAGGTAAACAATCAACTACCTACTGAGTACATACATACGTTATGATAGAAATATCAAAAACGATTCTCTAGTGAGAGAAATACGCTGCTTTTTTATATCACTGACATAAAATCCTTTATCCAAAGATTAACTACCTATCTATTTGTAGATATCTATTACACCTCTACAAAAAATAAAAATAAAGTGCATGACATGTTTAATGGACTGAATTTAAATCATATTGAAAATAAGCTGGCATCATGCCTTTCTTTTTATTAACAATGAGATAAAATTTTTAATAAATTTTACAACTGTCTGATATAGTGAAATTATAGCTTGAGTTATAACTGTGGGATAAATCTCTTCAATATAAAATAAAATTTTAAAGTTGAAGTTCATATAAATGCTATATAAACCAGTATAGTAGTAAAAAATGTATTCGTGCTTTGTATTCAATCACCGACTGGTAGTCAAAAGTTAAGGCTAAAGCAGCAGTCATCAATAGAGGATTAGCACAGACTGAAGGAGTTGGTCCAATGCCTCCTCTAAATGAAAATGAAGAGAGGCTCCTTGCTATTTTAGGGTGGACCGCAGTAAAAGGACACAATGTGCCAGAATTGGGAATTATTGTAAGTTATTACAAAAAACACACAATGCAAATGTTTATCTAAGGAAATAATAATTATTTTCCAACTGAAGCTGAATATCTAGAAACATAGGTTATATTTATGTAAATTGCATTTTCATTTGTAGAATAGCTTGAGTAGGAAAGCAAGGTTGACGGTACGAAGGTATTGAATTGAATATAATTTTGAAAAACAATTTTTTTTTGATATGCACCTAATTATTTCATACTGGCAGTTCCCATACTGTTCAGCTACCAAAAAAGCAGTACTAAATGAAAATATGGACAAGCTATTAGATGAAGCAGAAATTATATTCGAACTCGCCATTAATCACTATACCCAAAGCATTAACCAGTAGTAAAAAGGCAGCACCAGAAGAAACCATACCTGTACCATTACTATCACAGACACATAAGCTCGCTCCAAAGAAGCGAAAAATGAAAAAAGGAAAAACAGAGACGCAACCTGCTAAAAAGACTGAAATTCAGATATTCCAAGAACAAACATTGGGTATTCTGAAAAGCATCAATTCGAACTTATCAAGAGTGGCCGATGCTCAAGAAAAAATGTGTTCTCTTTTAGAAAATATGAAGCAATCGTAGGTAAGTTAACGTTAGGTACTTCATATTTTCTAAAAGAGAGCACATTTTCACATGATGATTTTATTAGTATTGTTTTTAGTATTAGGAATTTCATGTTTTTGTTGTTAGAAGAGGTAATGTTTTATTTAATTTTTTTTCCATTTACTTATACACATGTACTTACCTACATAGGTACCTACCTTGAAAATAAAGTTGAGGAAGATGAAAAAAATTGCATTTTTTTTAAGTCTTTATTTCAATTATTTACAAACTACCCATTAACTCAAATTTAATATTAGTAGACAACGTCGAATATTATTCAATAGGCTATTTTGATAGTTTATTTAAATATGAACAAAGGCTCGGAAAATTATGAAATTTTGCACAACTGCTCAACTTAACACGCTCTTTCAGAATATGTAATAAAAAAAATATGCTGTACGAGCCTATTTGTCAATATTCAACGTTGGCTACTATTATTGAATTTAAAACCTAACAATAAATATTCAAAAGCTTATACTATAGGCAGATGGA